CCCCATCCACAAAAAAGGAGAGACAAGAGACTGCAGCAACTATAGAACAATGTCACTAATCTCCAACGCAAGCAAATCGTGCTCGAAATTCTGCATAGACTCCAACCATACATGGAGAGAGAAATCCCAGAGGTCCAAGCAGGGTTCAGGAAAGGAAGAGGGACTAGGGATCACATTACAAACATACAATGGCTAATGGAGTACACCAGGGAATTTTAAAAAATCATGTGCTTTATAGACTATAGCAAAGCCTTTGACTGCATAGATCATGAAAGGCTATGGGTGTTCCAACACATTTAATAGTCCTGATCCCATGCTGGTTCTCATACCCTTGATTAAATTCTGCCCACTGTTGGATTTTAGTATAGATTCACAGGTTCTCCAATAAGGGGGGGGGGGTAGCTTGAGTCCTGTGGCACCATGTAAACTAACAGGCAAAAGATTTTGCAGTGCAGTGAATATCTTGTCTCTGTGTGGTAGTATTTTTGTGATTGGCCATCTCTCAATCCATCTGCACCTCTTTAAATAATTAAACAAATAGAGTGATAAAATACAGCCTTACCTGAACCCCTTGCCAATTGGAAACCATTCCACTTCTCTGTATTCTGTCCTTGCCATAATCTTTTTCCCCCAAGTACAGGTTACACATCAGGACAATCAAATGTTGTAGCACATTCAGTTCTTTAAGAGCAGTCTTTTCTTTTTCATGATCTAGACCAGGGGTGGGCAACCTTTCCCCTTTAAGGGCCGAGGGACTTCAGCTCCCAGAAGCCTCAGCCATGTTGGCCAATAGTCCCATGTTGGCCAATAGCTCCTGGGATTCTGGGAGCTGGAAGTCCCTCGGCCCTTAAAGGGGAAAGGTTGCCTACCCCTGATCTAGACAATCAAAACTTTTGCTATAATTATTAAACATAGGCTGATTTTTTTTCAAATTCTTTGCTGTGCTCCATTATCCAGCCTATGTTTACAATATGGTCTCTAGTGCATCTTCTGTTCCTGAACCCAGCTTGAACAGCTGGCATTTCTTGTTCTATATATTAGAAGCCTTTGTAGTAGAATTTCGAGCATCATTTTGCTTACATGGGAGATTAATGCAGTGCTCCTGTGGTTAATGTAATCCCTAATATCTCATTTCTTAGGAAGTGGAATGTATATTGATCATTTCCATTCTATGGGCCATAGTTTTGTTTTCCATATTTGTTAACAGATTTTAGTTAGAATTAGAATAGATTCTGTCTCTGTAGAATGATGCAGCTCTGTTGATGTGCTATCTGTTTTTGGTGATTTATTTCTCCCAAGTGCCCTGAGTGCAACTTCCACTTCATTTTCTAAAACTTTAGGTTCATCTTCAAGTGAATCTGCCATCCTCTTGTTACTTTTATATAGTTCTTTAGTGTATAGGACAGCCATTTTGAGTGGGTGAGTGTTTAAATTTAAAAAAAAACAACACTTGGGAGGGTGTGTGTGTGTTGCTGAGTGAGTGGGGCTTGGATGAGACACGTCTGTGAGAGGAGTTTCACTGGGGCTTCTGTGAGCTCTATACAACTCTTCCCAGAGGCTTTCCAGGACAGTTTCTGCCAGGAAGAAGAAGGAAAGCGTGCACAAATTTTTCACAAGACAAGGAAAAGCACAGCACATGTAGAAGGGGGGCTGGGACCTTTGTTTTTAGAGGTTCTCCTAATAATAATAATAATAATAATTTAAAGGGATTTGGGGGGTTTTTTTGTTCAGAGGAAGAGAATCAGAGACTTGCCTCCAGAATAAGGTAGCATCGAGGAGCTTTATATAGAGTTAGAAACCCAGTTGATTGAGTTCGCTGACAGAGCCTGCTGAAAAGGCCAAGAGAACAGGGCCCCTTTACGTGCGTCTTTACCAGGGAACTTTTTGAGGGAGAAGCCCACAGTCCTGTTTCAGTGCTTACTTAAGATTTCTCAATATGGACTCTGAGGGAGTTGCTGCAGTCACCTGCAACACTTGTGGGATGTTTGTCTTCTTGTCAAGAGATGTGGGGAACTTCACCTGCACCAAATACAAGTTTGTAGCCCTCCTGGAAGAGAAAGTCCAGCAGCTAGAGGCCCGGGTAGCTACACTTTAGCATATTAGGGAGCAAGAGGTTTTCCTGGACAGAGCAGAAGGAATGGTCTTGGACGGGGATTACACAGAGAAAGTTGTTGAGGAGGAGGTCACTGCATGCACACAGGAGGTAGACAGCTGGAGGAATGTCATACACAGAAGTAGGGAAACCAGGGATCGTTCTGG